TTTTTTAATTATCTCTCTCTTTCTTGGGAATTTTTTTACAGAAGGGACACGCACATCGGTCACATGCACTCGCACAAGATGTTACCAGCAGTATACACCCAAATATCATATAACTTACTTACATACCCCTGTTACTTGTTAAACGTTCACATCAAACAAACAAACCAATAAATGAAGAAGAAGAAGAACAAGAAGAAGAAGAAGCGAGTGCAAACACACACACCCATACACACACACACACACGCACGCACGCACGCACACACACTTTGTGGGCACGTTACGTTAGCCCTCAGAGTGCATTCCTTGGAAACTTGAGCATGCACGTATGCAGCAGTTGCAGCAGTTGCAGCAACAAACACACACACGCTCGTTTTGTTAACAGGCTTTACGTACGTGTATTTTATGCGTTTTCCGTATGTCTTTTTCCTAAATAAATGCGCAGACCAAGTAGAAATGTAGAAGAACAGGATGCACAGTAATAAGTAAAGATATAAATTTATATATGTATATCTTCTTGATCGAACAATTATGATACGACTAGATAATTTTACGAACGTTTGAACGATATTATCATTGAACTACTGTACGAATATTACTGTTACCCAGAGAGGTAACACTCGCTCGGGAAACGCGTTACGAGAGAGAGAGAGAGAGTTCGTAAAACGAGAAAGGCGAGAGAACGCGCAGCTCCGATATGCCAACAGAGACTGGCGGCTTCCCGTTCGGACTCACCGAATGCTAGCCGGTATAGTGAAAAAGAGATGTATATACACAGCGGCGACGGGTACTATCCCTATATCGTTACGTGTACTACATACTACTATCATCACACTAATACTATTGCAATAAACCACCACCACCAGCACCAGTACCAGCACCACCACCACAAGGTACCACCACCACCACCACACCACCACTAGGACCACGTCTACTAACACCAATACACACCACTATCTCACCAGCAGTAGTAGCAGCAGCAGCAAAGCAAGCTACTCCTCTATCGTCGTTACTAACACCTACAAACAACGTCTTGTCGTTCCTGCGCCGTGTGTATTTCTCTCGAGAGAACGGTAAAGGGGAGTATCCAAAAAGGAACTTGGTGGGGGTAGGTTGGTTAAATAAGTGGGGGTAGAGAGCTCGGGGGAGAAACTATCAGGTCGCATGCTCTCGACGTTCTGCTGCGTGTGACGTAACTCGAGTCATCCTGGATGTGTCGTGCGCCAGCGCAAAAGTTCAAAAGAGAAGGAGAGAGAGAGAGAGAGAGAGAGAGAGAGAGAGAGAGAGAGAGAGAGAGAGAGAGAGAGAAAAGAGTAGGGAACTAAGCGGACAAGGGCGAATTGGTGGGGAGAATGCTACGAGTCATCGAAAAGAGGGGAGGATGGCGGTCATTAGTGCTACTGGGACACGGAAGCGAATCCTTGCCTTGTCGCACCTTCTCCCTCTTACGGGCTCGCGACCCGGTACCTGCACACCACCCTCACCCACCACCCTTCCTTCCTTCCATCGTGCATCCACCATTGCTCTGCTGCCCGGGGATGCGCCTGCACTCTGCAGCCGTATATATCCCTTTTGCTGCACCCTGTTTCTACCTCCCTTCTACCCTCTTTCTATCTCCATCCATCTATCTATCTATTTATCTATCAATCTATCTATCTTTCTGCACAACACCTATAAGAACCGGATTCGATTAGGCAACGCTCGCGACCTCGTCCTTGTCGGAACCACTTCAAGAACACCGCCAATAATTTTTCTTCCTTATTTCCTTTAGCACTGTACTTTTTTTTTTTTTTTTTTTTTAATACTAGAATAATTTTTATAATCGTTTCTTGAACAAACTTTACAATTGTTTCAGTTTTATTATGATAGTTATTTCTTCTTTGACTCGAATTCATCATCTTGGATACGAATATATGTTATATATACTGGGTGGGGGGTTTAATCGTTATCAAAGGTCGTGGAAAATCAGAGAAGTTTCTCCTCGTTGAAACTTGGGTACAGTCGAGAATATAGAACCCCGTTATTGAACCGAAATTTCAAATGAAACTTATTCGAGTTGCGTAGTTGCGTTGAATGAGATATCGAGCACGAAGATTATTCTATGACGAACTTTGACATTCCGTGGTTTACACGGTTTGTACGAACAAAACAGCAAACGTAGGATTTGATATGAATCATTTTCAAATCGAAATCTTCATGAATAATACTATATCTTTTTGTTCAATGTATAATATCAATTGAAAATGCGTGTTCGTTTGTAATTTATTAGATTTTGTCAGAATTTATGTGTTATTTATGAATAATTCTTTTTAACAGATAATATTAAAAATCGATGACTAATTTTTCGTTCGAATCGATTGTCGTTGATTTAAAATTTTATAATACTTTATATGTATGTAAAATATAATTATTCTATGTACCATTGTTTCACCAAATTTTCATTTCATCGTTTAATAATAATAATAATAATAATAATAATAATAATAATAATAATAATAATAATAATAATAATAATGCGATGACGCGAATTATTATTTCAATTTTAATGTATATTTCATTTGTTAAAAAAAAAAATAAGAACAAAACCCCCACTATATACGTGCAACTTGATCATATTTTCTAATTATAGTTTTAACGTTATAAATAATTATAAAATTTGTTGAAACGACAATGATATTATACGTTTTATATAATTTATTATAAATCTTTGTAAACCAAACAAAATGGCAATGGACGTAAGTCGTGTACAAACATTTCGTTAAATGCTTTTAATATTATATTATCCCCAGCACTTTCAGTTGAGGTAGGTGACAGAAAAGGGGATGGAAATAGGATGGGTTGTAAAAGGGGTTGTTGTAATGGTTAAAGGTACTGGGGCTTTGGTCACAATAATGGCTTTAATCTCACACACACAGTGAAGTTGTTTCAGTCAGTTTTTCAAAATACTATCATTCCTTGATACGATGATTATTATTGTAATAAATCAAAATTTAAGTTATGCTAGATTTGTGTCACATTTTCAGATAAGAAAGATTTTCTTTTTTTTTTCACAATATCCAACACGTTTAATTCATGAACGGCAAAGTCCATTTCCATTTGATTCAAACCACGTCAAAGCGTCTTCGTATTCATAGCTGTACGACCACAGACGTTTAATTAATGAATTAATTAAACCAGAATGGCCGACGACAGCCATCGTCCCTTATACTACGCGTTTATCTCTTCCTCCCTTTCCCTTTTCCCCTTTCTCTTTAATTCTTCTATTTTCTCACGAATTCGACTATTCATTTTTACGCGAATACACATATTTTCCATTGTGTTAAACCACCAATATGATTTATTTATTTTTTTTTTTTTTTTGTAAAAATCCATTAAAATAAAATAAAGTAAAAATAATATTCAGACAAAATAAAATACTTTTGATTTCTTTTATGTATTTTTTTTTTTTTTTGGTTTTTTGATTACTTAAATTCATCCCTTAATCGCACAATCTGAGTTTCTCTTTGACGAAGGTCTGCTCGAAATTAATTTTTGTTACGTTCACATTGGACTTATGATAAAAGAGAGTGTGTGTGAGAGAGACAGAGAGAAAGAGAGAGAAAGAAAGTGAAAAGGGTAGTAGAAAAGATGAAAAAAAAAAAAACTTGCCTCGATAACAAAAACGTAATCTTCCTTTTGAAAAGTATGCGCTTATATACGTCCCTGGATATTAATCCGTGGCGAGCCAGTTCTGTTTCTGTTCCTCAACGAAAAGAGATTAACTATAATACGACCTCTCTTTCTTTTTCTCACTGCTATGATACAGGTACCTCTTCTCGGTTGTAACAAAAAATAATTTCTTTTTTTTTTTTTCTTTTTCATTTATTCATTCTTTTATATCCTACTCAAAAAAGAAAGAAAGAAAGAAAGAAAAAAGGAAAATAAAATCATTCCTAATAATCCACCATATTTCTTCTTATCATTCTTATTACATGAAAATCTACTACTACTACTTTTCTAGTTGATAGCATGAAAAAAAAATGAATTTGAAATTGTAAAATTACAATTTACATAGTCAATGGCTAATACTTAATATACATGACGTGTATACTCGTCAATCGCACTATTACTACTACTACTACTTTTCAAGAAAAAAAAAAAAAATGAATTCGAAATTGTGAAATTACAATTTATATAGCTAATGGTTACTAATTTATACGCATGACAAGTATACTCGTCAATCACATAAAATCATGTCTACTTTTTCACGAGTATACTCGTTAATCAAACTATTAACTGTTTAATTATTAATATAATATATTATTGTATTATTTGAATAATTTGTATTTTTTTATTCGAATATATATTGTGTGTGTGTGTGTGTGTGTGTGTGTGTGATCGATAACGAAACATTTCTCAACGTTTTCCCGAGGTTCTCGAGGCTTCCATTGCCGTCACTTCGGTCCTCCCTTAAACACGAAGATCGTGGGACGACGGTTAAAGGTCAAGGTCGAGCTATTTCCCGCACGAGGGAGCGCACCCCAAGTTTCTCTCTCTCTCTCTCTCTCTTACTCACTCACTCTCATATTCTTTTTCTTTTTCTTTTGGAGTATATCGAAGGATACGAGCTTTTCTCGAGAGGGTGAGTGAATGAGTAAAAGAGAAAGAGAGAAAGAAAAGAAGCCTTGAGTACTTGCTTACGTTTTAGAATGAGTGTCAAATAGAATAGAGAGAGAGAGAGAGAGAAAGAGAAAGCTTTGGAAGCTTGGAAGGGCAAGGAAGTACGACGCGACGAGGGCGTAAAGATAGCAGAATAGCCGAAGGGTTATTACTTGGCACGATTCGACGATGTCGACGGTGTGGGGGTGGTGCCTGTTATGGTACTAACATTATTTTCTATGATCTTTTCTTAGCCAAAAACATTTGGAAAGAATGACAAGTGAAATAAAAAAAAAAAAGATTGTTTAGTTAAACACAAGGCACATTTGCCAATAAAAAAATAACTACTATTTTTAATCAAATATTTCTAAATATGTTTTATAATCAAATAATTCATTCGAAATTAATCTTACGCTTTTGTTTCGAATTTATTTGCACTTTATTTCTAATCATTAGGTTAGAAAATTAAAAATACATGGAACTGTATTTATCAAAGTTAATATATATATAAAAGATCATGTGGGCAGATCACAGTCTCATTATCTCGCAGGCTCAATCCTATATGTTTGTCTTTTCTTCTCTCATTATTTAGTATAGTAGCCGTTTCATAGCTTCGTTACATAGTTACGTTTCCGTTTATTTACTTTTCAGATCACTCCCATTCTAAAGAAGTTTTCATTTCAAAAAAACAAAAAAGAAAAGAGATAAATTTAAAGTAAGATACATTGATGTTAATTAGTTTGTATATTGTATGTAAGTGGTAGGAGGATTAGCAATCTTTGTTAAAAATTTGTCGAGCCTCATAAAAGTGAGAAAGAAAGAGAGATAGAAGTTCAAACGAGAAAAACTATGGCAATGAATAAATTTGCTTGAAAAAATAGCTAGTCTTATATTAGATAGAGGAGAAACGTAATTCGTAAAACGACTATGGATGGGGTCGCTCATTTTCTCGCTTAAGCGTTCGTGTCGTTTCCCTCGTTCATTCTACCGAATGAGCAACAAAATGACAAGTGAACTTAGTAGGAAAAAAAAGATAAGCGAAATAATCTGAAGGATTTTCTAAAAATACAAAAATAAATATATATCAAATA